ATTGTTATAATATCCGGGTTAGTCTTTCCTGCAGTAACTCAAAACCCATCAAGATTTAGCATAACAGTTAAAGTCCATCTGTTTTCATACAGTTTAATCAAATTCCTTTCTTCATTAATTTCTGCTCAATAATTCGTTGTTTTAATCAATTTATGTGTTATATAATTACCATTTAACATTTTATTAAGATAATTATATCATCATAACGTATAATGTTGATATACATATGTATACATACAAAAACATATATATATATATATACGTATATATATATACACGTATATATATATACACACACCCACACACACACACACATGTGACTGTCTCTTATACACATCTAGATGTGTATAAGAGACAGTATATACACGTATCAGGCATATCTCATCAACGAAAACCTCCTTTATATCATTTGTATGAAAAATAAAGTGTCCGTGGCATGATCCAACCTGCAATCTCTCACTATCAAGGTGAGTATCATACCCATTGGACCACAGAGACCTATAGGATATAGGCGAAGATCGACCCCACAGTCACTTTCTCTCATACAACTGACTGAAACGCTATCTAAAATATCTATTAGAAGATTAATTTTATGCAAAAAGCCTTCTGCTATATTAAAATTATACACAACCTTGGACGCCTTATCTAATCGTGGAGTTTGGTGTTCCTGCGTGGCTGCCCCACGAATTAGGTAATGGAAATACTCCAAAAAAGAGCAGCCAGGATATGCTTTCCCACTAAAAATTATAATGATAGATTACGTCACTTTAATCTGCTTTCAGTTAAACAAAGGTTCCAATGTTTATCCATATCCTATATTTGTAAATGTTTATTTAGTCATAATTCAGTTAATATTTTTTCATATATTACAATCAATACTCGTCACACAGATCATCTGAATTTTGTTCACTCTTTTTCTTGAACCAGTTATTTTCAGAATACAGTGTTTAATGTTTTTCCACGATTTTTGAATATCCATTCTGAAGTTCGGGACATTTGTTTCTTGACTCCCCATGTTTCATTTTTATATATATTTTAAATAAACTTTATTCTGGTGTGATAAATTAACATTTTTAAAGTAAATTTTAATTACAGAATGTTGAATTTATTTATATAGGCCTATATGCTAATTCTGTGTAAATTTGTATGATGTTTTTTGTTTGAAACAGTGTTCAGGGAGACTAACTCGAATAGTAATTTAGTTTACTTTTTTGGAATCCATTCTTGGCACCGTTTTAAATTGTAATTTTTGTTTTGATTGTTAAGCTTGTTTTATATATGGGCCTATATGTGTATGCATATATAGGCCTATATATATAAACATATATAGGCCTATATATAGGTATGTGTGAATGTATATGTATATATATGTAATATATATATTTAAAATAAAACAAAAGGTTTTCTTTCATTTCATGAAGATTATATTAAATAAAGTATGTTATATTATAATGATATACCGTATAATGTGATATAAAAAAATAAAATTATTCTATTAAACAGTTTAAATTATATTTTATTCCAAAATACCTTTATTCGATTATACACGTTATTGGTTGTTAAAAAATGATATAATAAAAAATAATAAACGGTAATGCCATGAAGGTAATGAAAAAAAATTGATATAGAAGGAAATATTGTACTGTACTGTACTTATTGTTTGAATAAAGGTGGTGGTTACGCCACGAAAGAGAGAGAGAGAGAAAAAAGCTTGTTTTATGAGAGAAAAATAAATAAAATTATATACTGGTATGTGGTTAACTGTTATCATTATTTATCTATTTTTATTTCCAATCATTTTAATTCATCAAATTGTCTATACACATTAAAATTTATATAAAATTGGATGGATGGATTTATTCGGTGTAAACACCAAGGATAACCCACGAAAGTCTAAAAGAAGGCCTGGGATTAGTTCTTTGCCTATATCATATACATGATACGTTATTATGAAACTTACGTTTTTAAACGCGTTTTAGTTTCGAACATCTCATTTTATTACGAATATTTTCTTTGACGCGTTATTTTAAATGGTATTACTGATGTTTACCATAATTATGTTTCAATTGAGAGGATTGCAATGTTAATGCCATTCTTTAACTGATATAATTTTATAGGTAATTTCCTGTCACTTTCGTCTACACATCAATCATTGGAGCAAACCGGTCGAATTTTTAGCCCGATTATGGCTGAATTTAGCACAGCCAAATGTCTCGAATTTTACTATAGTACCAACGACACCACTGCTACATTGAACGTCTATATTACGAAAGCTAATGAACTACATTATGACAATATGATATGGTGGACGAATTCATCCAGTGGAAACCATTGGAGACACATTTTAGTTGACCTGACGAGTATTAATCAAGCATATAAGGTTGGTGTTAATTTTTGTTTGTACTTAAGTTGAAATATAACAAAACCATACAAAAACAAATGATATAATTATATATATATATATATATATATATATATATATGTATGTATGTATGTATAT